ACCCTAACCCTAACCCTAACCCTAACCCTAACCCTAACCCTAACCCTAACCCTAACCCTAACCCTAACCCTAACCCTAACCCTAACCCTATATTATTATGAAATAGAATTACTTTTTTAATTACTAATTTATTACTAAGATTTGTATATATATCCCCCCAGTCCGTCTGATAATTATATTATATAATATTATATTTAGTAAATAATATAATAACGTATATTATTAATCTTATTAATTATATAACAATAATACTCTATTTAGTTCTAATACTAAGTAATAATAAAAAATCCTTTTTATATAAAGAATAAAACTAAGAGTCGTCCTAACCTTTATTTACTTAGTTCTATTAATAAAATAATTTAAGTTTAGTTTAGGAATAAAGTATAAAGAGCTCGTACGGCTTAATTTACGAGCTTAAGTCTTATTTTTTTATATTAATTAATTTATAAATTATTTCATATAATTTACTAATTAGTATTAAATAGACTAGGGGGATATATATATAAATCCCGGTACTAAATTAATAATTAAAAAACTAATTCTATTCTATAATACTTTTCCTAAGTTTATATAAAAAATAAAGTATTTTAGGATATATCCTCGTACGTAACTAGAATAGGTTATATATTAAAATATTTATATAACTAAATAGAGGTTTAGTAACTCCTAAGGTATTATACGTTTAGTCCTAGTTATCTTTATTTTAATAATAATTTTAATTAATTTTATATATTTAACTAAGTTAATTAATAAAAAAGGTTAAGAAGTTATAAAAAGTACGTCGCTTATTATAATACGTTACTTACTATATAAATACGTTATTAAAATAAAACAATATATTATTTTTTCTTTTTTTTTAATATTAATTAAGTATTTATATAAATTTTCTAAAAAAAGTTTTTTATTAACATAAAAGTTAGCTTTTTTTTAAAAATTCCTTAAACCTACACGGATTTCGCTTACTTAATAAAGAATAAATCGATTATTTAAAGTACTTAAGACGACGTGAATAGAACGAATAATATATGTATTTAGCGCGGGCTGTAACCAACTAGGTTTATTGTTATTCATAAGCCATCCAAAAGCTGTGTCGAAGCCCCGAAGGGCTTGGCAAACCCACGAGACGCCGCATATCCTTTATTCGACACACCAGCCCAGGTCTATACCATTCACCATTGAATCAAAGAGGGCTTCTACATCTCGATCGGAATACGGAGCCGGTGCCGGCGTCTCAGAACGAACCTCGTTATCCACAGTCAAGTCGCCAAGAACAACAGCAAATACACCAGACAAGAGAGACTTTTGATCCAATGCGAGATGAGCTAGCAGATCTGCGCTTGCGAGATCAAATATCTGTACCGCCAAGGAGATCAACCGGAAGAGGAGGGAGGAAGTTGTTTGGCGCTGGGGAAATGTAACCATTTCGGCATTGTTGTAGCAAAGGGCCAAAATTCTCAAGTCTTCGTCCACAATGCCGTTTTTGTAACACAAGACAAGGAACATAGTCGCAAAGCTGTACGAGATCCATGTCGAGTCCACTGAATATTTGATACGATTGATAGCTTCTGTGTCGGGTGTGTAGCTACCCTTAGGCAGTGCGTCAACCGTCTTGTAGTTTCCCCAGGTCTGGTGTGTAGATTGCTCAGATAGAGCGAAAATGGTAAGGGCCGCCGTGTGTAAACTGACTTCTAGAGCCTGGAGCACATAGATGGATATGCGACCAGGGCCTCCTGACGCCCGCAGCAGCGGCGAGAGACAGGCGCTGTTAATAGAAAGACGATAGGACCGCAAAGTTGTGAAAGGCATTTGGTAGTGCTGTATTTGGTCGCCAATAACAGAGTTCCAGTCTGCCTCCCATGTATCAAGTTCCAGATTCACCTGTTGCAAGCAGGCGGCATCCAGGGAGCGCGCATTGGGGCTTCCGCTGCGCCTTACGGCTCGTTTGAGAATGGAGACAAGTTCGCATGTCGCCGAACTCCTCGTGTCGTCAGGATGACTTGCACTGCGGTGTGACCTGAATCGGTCAGCAACAGCCACCACCGGATCTGGGTTCAGTGTCGCCGGAAGGCCGCTTGAAAGTGTCAAGGCGGCATCGCAGGTGAGCAAATTGATCCAGACACGCAATTGACCAACATCCTCCAGTGTTGGCGTTGCACCATCGTTCGAGTTGAAGGGGAGTACCGCATTCTGGTGCAGCCCGAGAAAAAGAGCATAGCGGATAGCCAGGCCCAGCATGCTCCATGCCGAGATAGCATTATATCTGGTCGACCGGGTAGAGTTGCTAATATTGTCAATGGGCATCCACTGTATGTACAGGAGTATTGCGCGGATATGGTCTAGATTGACGTCGGCCAGGTTTGGCCTCAGCAGGAGACGGCTCAGAGAGTGGTCAAGAAGCGAGACGAGAGCCATATACCGACGTTGCGCATCGGGAGTAGAGGTGTTGGTGAAGCGATATCCTATGCAGCAGACGGAGATAAACAGCGTCGGGCAGGCTCGCCGGATGGCGGCCGCCGAGGTCTGGGTTTGTGGGCAGAGCACCGGAGCCCATCTGTGGCAGTGGTTGAAGAATGTGTCGAAGCTTTCTTGGGCTTGTTCCGTTGTCATGACACCACACATTATCGGATCTAGTGCCTCGTTCTCCATGCTCATGTCACTGTTGTCGTGGCGCAAGTGACGGAGCATCGACATAGGTGTACCAAAGTCCACTACACCCTGGGCATCGCTTCGGCGCCCTGGACCAGCATCCTGGAACATTGCGGGCCCGCTGGCATACGCTCCATCCTTTCGGATCTTTGCCCGCTTTGAAATGGGAGATATTGCTAACTCGTTGACCTCGTCATGCCATCTTCGAGTGCCGCTCATTGATGGCGGCCAATGTGGGTTTATGACATCGGTCCCACTTGTGCAAGAACCTGGAGTTTTGCCCGCCTGTGCGACGATAGTCGTGGCAGTACTGAGGGTGCTCACGGTGGTCTCCAGCTGGTTGATGCGATCGTTCTGCTCGTTGATCTGCTTCTGCATTCGATCGAGCTTGCGGGCATTTCGGCTGGCAGCGTCGGCATCATCGAACCCCTGATCATTAGTGGCGGTGGTGAAAGAGCACTGAACGGCCGACTGTGCGCATCGCCGACAGGGTCGTCGAGCTTGGTCTTCCTGCGCCGATGCCGAGAGGCCGGCGCTGCTGCCACGGCCAGGTCCCGAGCATTTCTGCTTGCGACCGCGACATTGGATACAGGCTACGCGAGTTACGCTGGTCAGCGGGCCATGCAGTGACAGGAACAGTGGCAGGAGACAACACTGGGGTGGATGGGAACGGTACCTTTGGAAGCCCGATGAATCTTTGCCGGGCGTGGTCCACCGGCGCTCCTGTCGGCGTCGGTTTCGATCGCCTCTTCCAGCGGGACTTCGTCGTCGAAATCGGCAAGCAACCGAGCGTGATCCATGATTCCCTGACAATGTCCCTCATCCACAATTCGGTTGGCGGGTGCTCTTATTACTGAGAGAAAAAGCCGTCAATAGCGCTAACAGACTTCAAGTTCTTATCGCCGGCATCGGGCCCGTGCCGACGAAGCCGACATTGATAACAGCGATAGCGACACCACAATGTTCCCGAGGTCGTGCGGAAGTCCGAAGTACTTGAACCACGGGGCTGGTACGGATGATGATGCAGAATACTGGTGATTGTTCCAAGGCCTGCTCAACGAGGAACAGTAAAGTATTCAGCTCGCTTACACCATGCCGTCAACGTCCATCTCGTCCGGCGAGACGCCCAAGGCCTCATCTAAAAGCCCAATGGACGACAGCAAGAATTTTGAGATGCAGGTGGGCACCACCATCGAGGTTCCGGCCACCGGTGTAGTCGATGCCGTGCACGCCGCCGAATACGTCGAGTACCTCCGCCTCAAAGACCACTTCACGGCCAACCCCAAGGCACACCGGAGTATGATCATGCGCCTTGATGCCCGGATCCTGCCTTTCTTGTTCATGTACTATCTATTGAACTCGATTGATCGGACCAATGCTGGCAACGTGAAGATCTACACCTTCATGAAAGACACCAACATGACCAACACGCAGTTCAATTTGGCTCTAACTTGGTTCATCATCATGTACGCCATGTTCGAAGCACCGTCCAAGTGAGTTATTCTCCATCAGGTCACTCCAAGGGCCATCCACCTTCATAACCTCTCTCTTTCCGGCGTTGCTGACCTTCATCACAAATAATAGCATGATGCTGCGTCGTATTGGACCCCGTTTCTGGCTATCGTCACTCGTTATTTGCTGGGGTTGTGTGACTCTTGGCGGTGCCTGGGTCAAGAGTTACCATGATTTTGTGGTTTGCCGCGTATTGCTCGGGTTGTTCGAGGCGGGTATGTACCAAGGCTGCTTCTACACAATCAGTTGTTGGTACCTACCCAACGAGCTACAGTCTCGTTGCGCATGGTGGTACTCGGCGACTCTGCTGTCCGGGGCCTTTGGTGGCCTGCTCGCATACGCCGTTGGCCCCCTTCAGGACCATCATGGCCTGAGGCAGTGGCAGTGGCTGTTCATCATCGAGGGTATGCATCATCTCTCCAGCTCCGCTTTCCATCATCCGTGTTATTGATATTGACCAATCCTTCGTCCAGGGTGCATCACAATCGCGGTTGGTTGCCTCGGTCTGCTGCTATGCGTAGATTTTCCGGAGAAATGGAGCTCCCGATGGTTTAGCGAGGATGAGATGAAGTTTCTTAAACTTCGCGTCAAGTACCGCGATGGTCCTGTGCCTCCTGACATGACATTCTGTTGGAGTGTCTTCTTTGAGGCCGTCAAGGACTGGAAGACCTACCTCGTTGCTTCACTTCTCGCATTTGGTGGCTCTGTGCCCACATACTCCGTCAACTACACCCTGGCAACGGTAAAATTCCCAGGGAGTGGTATCGGAAAGGGTCCGCTGCTAACGTTCTACTGTAACAGATGGTAAAAGGTCTAGGCTACTCCTCCATCCAAGCTCAGGCATTGACCTCCCCACCATATGTATTTGCGTTCTTCTGCGTTATCGCCATTGCATTCTATTCTGATCGGTACCAATGCCGAGCGAGATCTTTGATCATCAGCTACACGGTTGGCACCATCGGTATTGTCATCCTGTGGCCTTCTCTATACTACCCCACCCTTTCCGGGCTCAGCTACTTTGCTCTCTTTCTCGTCATTGCTGGCTATAACATGCAAGGCCCTGCCGTTGGCTCTTGGCTGGGTACCAACGTGCGCAACCCAGCTAAGCGAGCCGCCGCAATGGGCTGGATGTCGACTTGGGGCCAGCTAGCTGGCGGCTGCATCGGCGTAAATATATTCGTCGGCAACGAAGCCCCCACCTATCGCTCCGGCTTTATCATCATCATCGTCCTCGTTGCTATAGGTGGCTATGGCGCCTGCATCACAAACTGGTATCTACTGCGCCGTGCCAACCTTCGAAAGGATCGTATACCCCTTTCGGAAATAGAGGGAAAATACACCGAAAAACAGCTAGCCGAGATGGGTGAATACTCGCCGTACTTTAGATACGTTTTGTAAATCGGAATCTGGGAATGCTGAACTGGAACAACACGCCTGGTGGGGTGGGCTTGGGTATAGTAGATGGGCATGATAGAAGATGTCGTCCGCTCAGTGAACTTCTGTTTTCGATTCGCAGCAACTAAGTGAGCACTAATATATTTCTCAACTAACAATTCAATCAAATCGAAGGTCAATCTCTTCAAACTGTGTCACCATGTCACCATTCAGCTCGTGATGACGATGTCCCACATCAGCACTAGTGTCATGAACATCTGTTGGTAATATTATGCTCAATAACATATCCAGGCAGTGATATTACGACATGGATACTTGGGATCTTGCATAAATTGGGAAGGTTTTATTTATACCAGCTCATCAAGCAAAACTCCGCCGCATATATCATGGAGACTCGAGATCAAGTGGCCTTAGCTCAGGTCGAAGACATTTCAGAACATGGCATTATATCGATTTACGAAGCGTTTGTACCATGCCATAGATCTCTACATCTATAGGCTAGGCTCCTTTGGAGTACTTTGCCTCTAATTGGATCATTTCCTCAAATTGTAACATCAGCTTTTCTCCTTCAGTCTCTCCTAGTCTCAACAAGGGCCGCCTAGGGTCCATTCCATATCCATGCAACTTGTGTAGGACATATTCTTCGCAGGTATAGTGTCAGTCAAAGCAACACAATCGATCCACTCTTTGGGCTAGAATGTCAGAACTTACTCATTCCCCTTACACCTGCAGGCACAGCTGCCACGTCAGCATTGGACAGAATTGATTGAATTCTCTCTGCTTCCTGTCTTTCATCTTCCGTGAGACTGGACTTGATCAGGAGTGCCCATAGCCGCATGGACGCAGCCGGAGCAAAGTTCGGTATGCCGCTGACGGTCCCATGGCCGCCACATGTCATCCACGGTGTCAAATCAGAGATCAGCCCATCCAAGAGAAGGAATGGAAATGGCCGGGATGTATTGACCGATGGCTCGCTGTTGATAAAGGAAGAGAGGCGAACCAGCTTCGAAACGCTACCGCCACAGCTACGTCAGACGGTAATTAGTATGTTAGAGACCATGAGAAAACACGGATATCACATTTATCACGTACGTGAGTTTGACGCCGCACAGGTTAGGTGCCTGGCGTATTACAGCCTCGATTATAGCCGACGACATGTCCAATCCTCCCGCATTCGCTGGAAAGTTGTACAGAAAGAGTGGAATCTGGCGGTGTGAGCGAATCATACTCAAAGACTCCATTCAGTCGGAGTAAGAGAGACCAACAGGCGATTCCTTGCAGATATCGACGTAGTATTGAATGATCTGGTCCTGGTCGGTGCTCAAGCTAGCAGCGTAATAAGCAGGAAGAATAACTAGACCTGCATCTCTGTCGGGTGCACATCTTAGCAAGATAACACAAAGGGAAAAAGCAACAGATGCGCAGTACATACGCCCCAGCATTGCCAGCCGCATGTGCGAGTTTGATCGTCTCCCTGGTACTTGAACCGCCCACGCCTGCCACAATGGGCATGTCCGTCAAGCCGGCATCGTCGAGGGTGCGTCTTATGAATTTGATGAGATCCACTCGTTCTTCTGACGACTACGAATCTTGATGTTTAGAGAATTGTTCTCTGGAACAAGGTATTATTTAGAGTCTCTGTCCATACCAAGTGAACTGCTTCGCCAAGCGATCCCGCGCACACAGGATCTAGATGCGTCAATGCTGGGCATCCATGGGATACAACGCGTTATTGATAACATACTGATTCCTCTTCTAGCGAGATCTTGCGTAGTTGCTAGTTAGTCATAACTCGTACTGGGGGCGGTGGTGATGGCCAACTTAGTAGATGCTTCTTATACGATTCGTAGTCGATTTCTTGCTTGTCATTGAAGAAGGTCGGCAAGGGCCCATATGCCCCAGGGTTCAATATCAGGCCCATCGCGATCGTATTTGTGTAGAACAAGGGAGGAGTTCTGATGATGTTGTCTATCGGACGATATGTTTTTGCAATAATAGATAGACTTTGACGTGAGGTCGAGTAAGCTGGGCCAGCATACATGATAATGAGGTTAGATACACACGGCGTAAAGGTCGGGGCTCGTTATCTAACCACGCGGCCCGCTTGCCGACGGGACCGACAGGCCTTATCGACCGGCAGTTCTTATCTGACTCCCCCTCCATCATTTTGAAGTTAGAAACTCCATTCTGACTCGAGGACAGCCATTACGGATAAGATATGGATTGAGCGGAGTTATTCAATGGGAGAAGGCGCATAGCTATGTTTGAGACTTGACACTGGCTCTAGATAGATTAATGCACCTAACCTGTACCCAATCCATCTCACCCACAACGCCGACAATAGTCAACGTAGTAACTTGGCTTTTTTTGCTACCATTCAAATCAGAAATCCGTGAATATGAATGACTAGCATACTTCAACGTTCTTCCTGTCAAAGTACATTTGTCCAATAAACCCTCCATCATGCCTTATTGGTAGAGTAGATTCTATGTCTAATCAATCACTACTTGAGTCTCAGCCATCTTTCCGCGAGACCCAGAAATCCAACATCCACAATCAATTGGTTCATCTGATATCTGTTACGTGAGAATCCTGAATCCTACAACTTGGAGACTTTTGAGTGTGTTAGGCCTCTCAGGCGTTCCCTCCTGAATGTGGCAATCCTAGGTAGAATATGTCAGTTCAAGGCCATCAGTTGAGTCAAAGTATTACAAACTTTTCCTCGTCTGCTAGCTCAAAAAGAACCTCTTGCGCGCCTTTCCAAAGAACTAGCTCGCCCAACGCTCTCAGATTCTCACCACCCTCGGTGATTGTCAGGAAGTGATTTGCAGACAGGGCACCCATCTTGCTCGCGAACGATACACCGCCGTAGCAAAAGAGGAGCTCCGTCTCAGAAAAGCCTCCTGGATAGAAAAGAATCTGGCCGGCACCGGGGTGGCTCGTGTGGTTCTCGAACGTTAGGCCGAGGTCCTGATTCCCCAGTGGCACCCAAACCGCTTCGCCGCTCCAACGGACGTGAATGACTTGTTGCCGATACGGCAATAGTTTGCGGAACACCGATACCGTCTTGGGAGCCGCGGACTCGAAGGCGGCCAGGAACTGGTACGGACCAGCTCTGATGAGAATCTTGTCCTGAGATGCCATTTTGCGACGGTAATTTGTGTGACGTGCGTCAAGGTTCACTGGCAAAAATATAATGAAGCAGGTCTCAGAGGCCCGGGAATGCGACAAGCAGCACGCGAAATTTGTGTCTGTTCAATGCGGGCTTAGGCCATACCGGTTCGATCGGCCTCTGGGCATCGGTCTGGTCGGCCATTCAGCCGTGGGCTGGGTGGGGCCTCGCGTGTTAAATATAATCACCAGAGTTCTAGCGACGATGTTCATTCCATCTGATAACTTTATGTCCTAAGATACGCAGCGAGCTACCCTAGTGCCATCATGTCGGCCATTGAGATGATTCAGAGTCTCCCGCGGACGTATCTAAACACGTTCCCACCCTCAAAACAGCCAAGTGCGGAGAGCCGCGGTGGTAACCACCGGCCGATTTATGACGGGCATATGATTATTACTCCCGTACTACACGATGGGAAATCATCCTTTGGTGCTCAGATTGATGGAATCGATTGGTCCCGTCCACTTCCTGCCGATGACATTGAGAAGGTGTGCACTTACAGTTGAATTGGTCGGGCTTTGCTAACCTTTTGATATTCTGAATAGCTCAAAAGAATTCAAGATAATTACGGCGTGCTGATCTTCCGCAAGACTGGCTTGGACAACAAACGACACATAGATTTTGCTAAGGGACTGGGCCAAGAGCTCGAGATCAATCCCTTCTTCTATGGCATTGAGAACGACCGCATAGGTGATCCGCTGCTGTGGGACGTCAGCAAGTATATAGAAACTGTACTTGATCTACTGTTTCATACAAGGCTGACTAACGATGGTGCAGTATCAATCTGGATGGAACCATAGTACAGCCTAATCAGAGACGATGGGACCACAGCCTAGGCAATGCTTTATGGCATACGGTTAGTCTAGACTTTGTGACATGACCTCGTCACATGGCGAACATTACTCACAAAAGGCAGGACTCATCATTTCACCAGCACCGGTCGAAGTACTCGCTGCTTTTATCCCACGGCAGCCCAGCTAGAGGCGGCTCATGGACGCATTTCGCCGACACAGCGCGAGCATATGCCGATCTCCCACAATCCAGAAAAGACGAGTTGGAGGATCTGATTATTGAGCATGATCTGTGGCACTCGCGCCGGCTTGCCTCCCCTCAGGCTTTTGCACAGCCCCTGGAAAACGAGCGGGCCGCTGAAAAGTCGGCATACCACCGACTCGTCCAGATTGGCCCGGATGGGAAAAAGACTTTGTATCTGGCAGCGCACGCCAAGCTCGTCGTGGGGCGCGGCCTTGAGGACAGTCAGAGGCTGATTTGGGAGCTCATCGATCACTGCACACAGTCCAAGGTAAGCCAGAAGGACAGCCATGAAGCTTGATTGTGCGTTGATTGACTGGAAATGCTGATCTCTATTAGTATGTCTTTAGTATGGAGTGGTTGGAAGGTGGCGACATGGTATGGTGGGATAATCGGTGAGTGTGTTGTCCCTCTGCCTTGTACTGTTGATTCATTCCTAAAATAAGCGAGATTCAGTACAGCATGCTTACAGTGAACAACCATTAGAAAATCCATGCATCGCGCGAACCCATACAACACCAACATGACTGCGCGTGATGTTCGTCGAGCCACCGTAATCGATGACGGGCCTCTGGCATCTGGGGTGAGCAAGAAGGAACTATTGGATCATCAGCGCACAGATTAGTTTCACAGGTATTGGAAAATTCAGCATTGAGAAAGTGAAGCGCATCGTATCTTTTAGGGCCATACCATCAGTATGTCGTCCAAGACCGTGATTGAAGCTGGCCAACATGCGCCTCTAGCGATCGTGCGACGTGTCTTCTCCGAAGGACCTCCGCACCGCGCCTAGTACGCCGGCGATTCAAATCTATCCTGACGCGAGATCCTGGGTGTGACCCGAGAGTCAGCCTAATGGACTGATGGTACAGTGTCCAAGCAACGGCCAACCCCGTCAACACATATTGGAAACGCAGCTTTTCCGCTGCCCTCTGGCTCTGGTTATCTGTGGTCCACTTCAAAGCACGGGCGGAATCCCGAGCCCAGTTTCGGCGGCTCCGAGGGGCTATGTGGGCTGAGTGGTGTTTCTGCACTATCGTACTTCTCGGGCGTGTCAATCATCCCACCCTACATGCAGGTACTTCGGCTTTGAAGACCGCCAGTAAGGCTTTGCACAGCGCACAACAGTTGCATTATCAATAACTGCTTACTGTCGGGCATCTTATAGATGTTTGCAATGCTTTCTAGTGCTGTGACTCTTCTCTACATGCAGCCGATATCTCGCAAACGAGAGGCGTGGAGCATTAGCCCCTACACCAGCACAGCTGCTTGCAGTATGTATTCGAACCCAGACTAAACCTTCAGTCTGGTATGTAATTGAGATATAATTTGCCCTGATATTTGGACGGGTACTAATCCGGCGGCTACCTCTGGGTGTTCCTCCCAATCTGTTTATGCACCTTGGCGTTGTCCTTCATTCAAGTTTTCCCTGCTCAGGGAGATGTAATTTCGACCACGCCTCTTGCTAACATCTATACACCCGCCTATTCGACACCAAATTCTTTGATTATGATGGGAACCTGGCAGATCCAAAAGCAGCGCGAACTCGGTTAACTTATTTAGAAACTTGGAGAAAGGCAAGGGGGGTTAGGGGGGCAGGAAGAAGGCACAAGGTGTCTACGATTCGCTAAGTCTACGACCAGGGCCAAGGTCTACCCCTACCCCGGTGAGGTTAAATGCAACGACAATACTGATTGGTAAACTCAGCTCTCAAATTCGATGGGCTCCGAGGAGTGAAATCACAAGCTAGTATTCGTAGATCACCTAGCAGAACCGGAGACAAAATTCCCTGCTTTTCTCGGCAAATTACTACTAGTAACGATACAGGTGGTCGAACAACCAGCCATAACAGAAAGCTACGAGGTTATAGCAGTAATATACGAACCAAGAACATTTAGCAATACTTGCAGTCAAGGCTCAAAGCAACACTTTCTTCAGCGCTCGTAAAATTCTACCACCTACTAGCATTTTATGTCATTTTTCGCTAGGAATCTAAACAATACCTTTGTCGCTCTAACCCCGCTAGAGTGCCGCTTGGCTTCTCTTTCGGCGAGAAAAAGGCCGCAGGTCATATGGGCTACGGATACTCCGTATTGCTAATTGATCTTGGCAATGTTACAGGCTGAATTCCCGTGGAAAAAGGCATGCGCTCTGCCCATGCCTACGGCACGTCCCTAACACGACGACACCTTAGTTGGCCCATGTAATACACCGCGCCGGCACATCAGGGCAGAACTTGCGCGCCCGGTGGGATGATTTCCTTTCTGCTCTCTAGCTTCCCACAGACATCGATTCAAGCACCGGTTCATTCAACTAGAATTTCGTACCGTCCTTCACAAAAACACAAAGTCATGCCTTGGGTGAACTGGAGCCAAGTTGTACGGGGCCTTCACAGCTGTAAAGAGCTCAAGTGTGACTACCTAGGGGGAAAATGTCAGAGGGGAGAGATAAAAAGATAGGGCTAAGTAAAAAACAGGGACTTGACTCGGGGTCTTCAACTTTAGCCCAGTGCTCCGGAAATGTATACTAAAAATATCGTAGCATATGAAACCTTGGCATCAGCATGGAAAACTAAAGGTAGGACGTAGCTACAAGACTTTGCTCAACACAGCTCACATATTGTCCAAATTCCTTCATATTGCCTCGACTTTGTGGACCATGAACTTAGATACTATATGTTAAACTTTCTCAAAATAACAAAGTTCACCCTTCCCACTTCA